TCCTACCGTAAATATATCAAAACTTAATTTTTGATTAGTAATATGCATTGCTAAGAACTTCATTTGAACAACTTTAAAGATGATTTTCTCAATATTTAGATTTTTTTGCACCCTCAGATTCCAGATTTTCAAATATTGTCCTATCCTAACAAACCATACATCAATGGAAATCATATGATGTATGAATCTCAATTTCGAAAAATGGACCCTTATGACTGGTTTTGTTGTCCGGGCTCTGATTTCAGTCTTTGTTTGTTTATCAGAGCTGAAGCTGTTAAAGAAAGCAGCTGCGCAGACGGCCGCAGCCTCGCACAAGCCTCCCGCCGGCCGCCGCAACACGCTGAGTCCTCCGGCGCCTGTGCTTGTGCGCCGCAGCGACGTCTGCCTGTCCACCTTCTACAGAGACTGCGCAGAGAACGCAGACGCAGACTGCAGATGTCAGCCGGAGAGGGACAGCAGGTACACAGACTGATAAAACAAGCTTAAATGAGTTAAAAACAAGATATTTCCCCTTCAACAACTATCTGATTAAAATAAATTAAATTATTATAAACTAATTTAATCATAAATGTGTGGAATTCAAATAATCAAAACTATTTTTTGCATTTTATTTTATTTTTTAACAAATTAATTAAATCATACAAATTGATTTTTTATATTTTATGTTCTATTTAATTTTTAACAAACTAATTTAATCATAAAAATGTAGCATTAAAATAATGAAAACTATTTTTTGCATTTTATTTAATTTTTATTTAATTTTAACAACTTAATTAAATCATAAAAATGTCAAATTAAAAATAATTTTGTTTTATTTTCTAGCTAATGTTTAACAAATTAAATCATAAAAATGTACAATTAAGATTTTTTTAATATTATATTTTTAAATTAATTTGAACAAATTAATAAAATCAGTGAAATGTAAAATTGAAATAAATAATAAAAAACAAATAAGATAAAACATTGTTTATTAAAACCTGTTTATTAGTGTTTTACTGCTCTTAAACAGTAACTAATCTCATCATTACTCTTCATGGAAAGCAAAATTAAAAATAATTTTGTTTTATTTTCTAGCTAATGTTTAACAAATTAAATCAAAAAAATGTACAATTAAGATTTTTTTAATATTATATTTTTAAATTAATTTGAACAAATTAATAAAATCAGTGAAATGTAAAATTGAAATAAATAATAAAAAACAAATAAGATAAAACATTGTTTATTAAAACCTGTTTATTAGTGTTTTACTGCTCTTAAACAGTAACTAATCTCATCATTACTCTTCATGGAAAGCAGCTTGAACAAAGGATGCGCAAAAATTCTGATTTTCAAAGGTGGGTACCTTCATTGTAATTAGCTCTAATTAGACTGATTTATTGTGATGTCCACTAGACCAGCGGCTCTCAGCCAGGATTCCAGGGCCTCAAGATTACTTAAAATCAGTAAAAAATAATATAAAACAAGCTGTAAAATAAGTTTAAACGAATAAAAAATCAAGATATTTCTTATTTTAATTCACCACATCTGATTAAAATAAATAATGAAAAAAAATAATAAAAACAATCAAAAAATGCTAAAAATTAAATCATAAAAAAGTAAAAAAAAATTAAAAAAACAGATAACTTAAAACAACAAAAAAGTACTCAAATTAAATAAATCAATTAAGATAAATAATAAAAAAAAAAATACAAAAATTTATTAAATATAAATAGATAAATAAATAATTTTAGAATAAAATTACAAGCAACTTTTTTTCTGGAATCCAGAAATTTATTGTACAGAAACTAGGAGTGTCTGTAGATGAAAAATGTAAATAAATAAATATACATAAATGCAATTGCATTAATTGCAAATTAATTGCAACTGATGAAGCAGAATAAATATTGTTATGGATCATGAGGGGCTGTGGAGAACGCTTGAGAGCCGCTGGATTAATAGACACTGTTGATTAGGTGTGTTGAGTTCACAAACCGCTGGAATGGAGAATGAAATTGATTGGTTTTTACTTAGACACTTATTTACTGACAAATATATTTATAAACTCGTTACTTGTTTTGAAACAGAAGCTATTGCATGAATTCAGAAAGGAGCTCGTTGAGTGTGATTGTTATTGGTGACAGGTTAACAGGTGATGGTTTTTGTGTCGTTTCGCTCGCGTTCTGCAGGTCGGTGGAAGTGAGGGAGACTCTGAACAAAAAGTCGGTGGATGAAAACTACAACAACGTGCTATCTCCGAGCCGCGGTCTGGCCGGGAAACTGCAGCAGCTGCTGACGCCCACGAGGAACCGTGCATCGGTGCGACGAGCCGCTAGCGTAGACGACCGGCGGCCGGGAGCGAACGGACACTCGCGCCAGAAACCCTCGCGCAAGAGCCAGATGACCGAGAGTCTGCTGAAGGCCAAGGAGCGGCTGTACAACGCCACGTCTGAGGTGACTAGAACTACACTCTAAAAAATGCTGGGTTAAATACAACCTAGCACTGGGTAAAATGTGGACAAACCCAGCGATTGGGTTGTTTTGACCCAGCGGTTGGGTTACTGCACAGAAGGTTGGGTTAAACATTTAACGCAACTGTTGGTTGAAAACAACCCAATCGCTGGGGTTGTCCATATTTTACCCAGTGCTAGGTTGTATTTAACCCAGCATTTTTTAGAGTGTACCCTCTAAATAATGCTGGGTTAAAAACAACCCAACTTGGGTTAATTGGCAACCCAGCGATTGGGTTGTTTTCAACCAACAGTTGCGTTAAATGCTGGGTTAAATGCCTAGCATGCTGGGTTGTTTTATTTAAGTCAACTACTGTTTAAAAATGACTATTGCTGGCTTAAAATAGGCAGGAAATTAAAAATCACAGACATAATTACTAATTAATTACTACTAATAAGCAAGACAAAAAATACCCATAGACAAAAAAAAACAAATTGAATTTATTTGGGTGAATACAGCATATTACATACATTTAAACTCATTTAACAAGCATTATAGAAACAAAAACTGTAACATTTAAAAGAAGCATTTTAATTTAAGTGTATTCAACCGTTCTCTCTAATTCCTTTTCACTGAAATAGTGCTAATTTTACTCAGCTGCTGGGTTGTTTCATCGGAGACAGGCTCAACCCAGCGGTTGGGTAGAAAAAAATAACCCAGCATTAAAAATGACCCAGCAACTTAGTTACAGAAAAACTACCCAGCACCTGGGTAAAAAATATTAAAAAATAACCCAATAAAATGGCCCAACAGGCTGAACCCAGCATTTGGGTTAAAAAAAATAACCCAACACTTTTTAGTGTATATGAGCCTAAAATTCAAGATATCAGCGCAAAAAATCACTCTTATATTTATGCCATATATCTGCATGAGTTTATACAACAGTTCAATAAACAAGTTAATATTGTGTTACATTTTAGTTTTTGCTCAATTTCACAAATGAAAATAGTTCCATTCAAAGTCACAGCAGAACTGATGAGCATCTCTGATCAACACATAGCGGTGATACGTTACTGAATGAATTCATTGTTTTGAATTAATTGAGTGAGTCAGTGATTCATTGCTTAATTTCTGAATGAATCAGTTGAATGAATGATTCAGTGACTCACTCATTAAGACAGCGACACACCGCCACCTACTGGAGCTATTAGTTTCATATTGAGAGTATCATTTCATTTTTTAAAAATCATTTTATATTTCAGTATTCATTTAAAAAAAAACAAAGGGTTACAGTAGTTCACCCAAAAATGAAACTTATCCCATGATTTACTCACCCTCAAGGCATCCTAGGTGTCTATGACTTTCTTCTTTCAGACGAATCTTATCTGAGTTATATTAAAAATTATCCTGGCTCTTCCAAGCTTTGTAATGGCAGTAGGTGGGTGTTTTTTTCAACAGTCCGAAAGAAGTCCAATAAAGTGCATCCATAAATAATAAAAAAGTGCCTCACACGGTTCCGAGGGGTGAATAAAGGCCTCCTGTAGCAAATCGATGCGTTTCTGTAAGAAAAATATCCATATTTAAAACTTAGTAATCACCTTGAAGGTGAGTAAATCATGGGCTAATTTTAATTTTTGGGTGAACTAACCCTTTAATACCTATTTATTATCATTTATTTATGTTATTAATGTTGAATCAAAATATGTCATGCAATTAATTAGATTCCGTTTTAATCACTCGACAGCCCTAATAATAATTGTGAGTATCTCTATGTCTGTAGAGTTCTCTGTCTGTAGGGAGTGACATTGACATGACGGACATTCAGACGCTGGTGGTTCCTCACAGGAAGTCGTGGGATTCTGCACAGGAAGGGGCGGGCATTGAGGTTTGTGACATCTTTGAGTGACGACACTTTTTTGGCAATATTATGGACTTGATTGCACAGACACTATTGGAAGAATGAAATATTGACTGTTTACTATTGTTACTGTTTTTGCTTACATTATCAACACAGTGTTTTCCTGTTTAAAACTCTAAAGTTGCTTTGACACAATCTGTGTAGTATAAGTAAGGGATAATGCATGGCTAGCTGTGCATTAAACGATTTTAATGCACAATGTGGAGGCCAAGAACCACTCAACGCGAAGCAGAGTGCATTAAAATAGTTTAATGCAAGGGTAAAAATGACGGTTATTTTCGTCAGTTACGGCTCGTTAGCTCTAGCATTCTACCCACTTCAAACCAGACTCAGAGATGAAATCACATTTAAGATCACATTTATTTGAATCAATTATATCATTTATTTGAATTAATTATTAATCGAGAGAGAGAGAGAGATGACAGTTGTGTGTGCGTTATCTTTGTCTGCGCATCTCTCTCTACAAACAATGAAGCTGTGTTCCTTAAAAAACAGCGATTTTACACCTCGTTGCTGAGGAATATAATGTAGCGATCTAGTATCTAGGCTATTTTATTAATAAAAGTCACTGGAAAGCGTTTACAAGTTTGAGTGTGTGTGTGTGTGTGTGTGTGCGCGCGCAGTGCGATCTCCGACTCTCTCTCTCTCTCTCTTTGTGTGTGTGTCAAGTCAAGTCACCTTTATTTATATAGCACTTTTAACAATACAGATTGTGTCAAAGCAGCTTTACAGTATCAAATAGGAAAATAGTGTGTCGATAATGCTAAAGGACAATAGTAAACACTATTGCGGAGACCTGGGCAACTAGATGAGCCCCTAATTATCCGAGAAAAGTAATGGTCCTAGTACTGAGCCTTGAGGTACTCCATACTGCACTTGTGATTGATATGATACCTCTTCATTCACTGCTATGAATTGATGGCGGTCAGATAAGTACGATTTGAACCATGCCAACTAATGCCAACAAAGTTTTCTAGTCTATTCAAAAGAATGTGTGTGTGGGTTTGTGTGCATCAATTAAAGCAGCGCATTAATATAAAACGGTGATTAAACTGACTCGGAACTACCTGTGCATTAAAGAGTTTTAATGCATACCTGCCAGCCAATCAGAATACAGTATTCAGGCAGACCATGGAATAAAGCGCTATAGCAGTGCTTCGCGGTCCGCGGCCCGTCACGAATTCAAATGCGACCCACCATGCTGAACACAATTTTAAAAATAACTTTCAGTTTTACAACTCATTTTAGTTTTTACATTAATTTAAAAATGTACTAAAGAAATATAAGCTATAATGTTTTTATGTAAAATAATTTTGTTTTTCATATATTATTTTCAGACAAGAGCAGACCTACTCACATAATTAACGTTATGCATTTAACGAACACTTACAAGCGCACACTTTGGCAGATTTCAATTCAAATAGTCATCAGCAGCCATTAGTTCAGTAAAATTGAGCATCAGAATGGACAAATTTGTTTTTAAGGGAGAAAAACGAAATGTGGAAAATGCCAACGAAGGAACACATACAAACAAGAATAGTCGCAGTATCAGTGAAGGTAGGAGAGTGCTGGACTTTCGGTTTGCCCCGCCACTCACTTAAGGATGTTCAGGCAAAAGGAAACACCCATACTACGCAGCAATCATCCTTAATTGCAGAAATGTGGCAAAACATCTCTGGAGAGACCCTCAGATTATTACATTCAAAAGTGCTTTCCATATTTGGATCAACATAGGCTACATTTGTGAACGCACATTTTCTGCAATGTCACGCGTCAAGTCACGCTTACCTTACAGACTGCAACTTACAATCGCAACTTCATTGTGCTGTTACTCCTTTCGAGCCGAATTTCACAAAATTGGTCAGCTCCCGACAGCATCAGGTGTTTTATTAATGGGGAGTAGAATTATTTATTTCAATGA